ACACTTTAAAAACATGCAAAACCCATTGTGTCATTTCAAGGACTTCTTGGATAAAGGAAAGAAGAGGTAGACAATTCTGACCATTGGCTTTTAAATTAAAAAATAAATATTATTATATGTGCATTCTCTAATTAATAATATGCTTTTCTTAAACCTCTTGTATTATCATCTTCTATATCTTTGTGTTTATCTTGATGTATTTATCTCTTATTTAAGCAACTACAACAGTAAATTGAAGCCAATTTTAGTTCCTATTTTTTATTTTATACTATGGTAAGGATTTGGGGGACCTTGAATATCAGATAATAATAATATAATATAAATAACAATTAACCTTAGGTTCAAGTAGAACTATTTTAAGTTCTGGTTTTGACAGCTATCAGCTCTGTGACCTTGAAGTGTTTGTTTAATGCCTCTAAACCTCTGTGGCTCCAGATGCAGACTAAGAATAATAATAATGAATCTATTGAGTTATTGAGGTGTCTTGTCTGAAGTCTTACTTACAGTCATGGCTTCAGTATGGGAGGCTGGGTCAGAGGCATTTCTTTTCTTTGTGTTTATGCTTTAGTCCTTACAGCAGTATGCCATCAGCTGTGAGGATTAAATAGGATAATGCATGTGAAGCACATCAAACACTGTTTGACAACTTGCAAATAGTCGAAAAATGCAAGCTTATTATTAACCTTAGAAATGATGTAATAAATACTTATTAAATTTAAAATACTTTTAAATACTGCTTTTTGTATTCTAACTTCAAAAATGTTTTAGATACATTGATGAGTGTAAGCATTTCCAAGTCGTAACAAAGATACAATTGAAATGAGATATCATACGTTTTTAGTGGGCCTGGTCTAAGTTGTATTTTGTTGCTTCAGAATAACTCTCTGCAGCATGAGAAGTAGAAGAAGGGGTATAGTTTTGGTAATGTTAGTTTAGAGTGGCAGTAGTTTATGCTGGAACCAGAGTACATGGAATGTTTGTCAGGACATTCCGGAAGTTTCTGAATATGGGTGTCTAGATTGGCAAGGAGTCATATAGAGCCAATAGGACTGAATTGGAAAGAGAAGCAATCAGAAGTCCTACTGTCAGTATTATTATTATTTTCTATATTTCTGTTACTTTAAAGAAATTTTGTGAATAAGAGATAACAATTTCTCAAACTCTACAGGATTGATACAGGAAGATAGTTATATAGGTATAGATAGATAGATAGATAGATAGATAGATAGATAGATAGATAGATAGATAGATACACCCAAATGCAAAACTAGCATCTCTTAGAATTTTGTATGGCTACATAACAAAAAACTATTTTGTTTTTAGAAAAGAGTATCAGAATAATAGTATAGCTATTGGTTTTAGATTTGAATCTTCTTTGTGTTATAAACTCTTTGATGTCTGGGTTTCAACCATATTTTCTACAAGTCAGGAATGGTGCTATCTCATAGAGATGTTGCTAAGTGAATTAAATGCAAATTCTCATAGCATCACACACTTTTTTTTTTTTAATTTATTTATTATTACTATACTTTAAGTTGTAGGGTACATGTGCATAACGTGCAGGTTTGTTACATATGTATACTTGTGCCATGTTGCTGTGCTGCACCCATCAACTCGTCATTTACATCAGGTATAACTCCCCATGCAGTCCCTCCCCCCTCCCCCCTCCCCATGATAGGCCCCGGTGACATCACACACTTTTTAAAGCTGAAGTTTGCCTGCATTCTTAAATGTCTCCATGAAGTTGGGCACCTTTGATTTTGACATTACCTTTCTGGTTCTTCTGCTCCCCATTCAGCCTTCACTGTATTTGCTCAGGCTCTCTCACCTCCCGCTTAGACTCCTAGGCAGACCTGATGATGATCCTTGATCTTTATTCTTACTTCTTCCTCAAATTGCTGCCAGAATGATCTTTCTAAAATGGAGCTGGTAATTTAAATAGTAAAGTGTATCCCAAATCCTCCTTTTAGTTTTGTCTCCCACCATTTGCTGCCATGCACTCTCCACGTGAGCTACACTGGATTTTAAAGCATTGTGTGAATGCTCCAGGTCGTTTCGCCGTGTCTGCTTCTTTTATGCAATCTATTCTTTTGGAATTATCTATTTTTCCTTCTTAGTTTGACAGAATTCTATTTATCCTTATTGATATTCTGATATTCCTTTACTCTCAGTTTGTGGAAAGTATTTGCACACAGGGCTACAGCCTATTCCACTGGCTCTCTCTTGTTTGTTGCACTGCATATTTACACTTTCAGGGCAGACATTCTATCACTCAAGTTTTGCATTTCACATGCTTAGTACAATACTTAGTTTAACATATGGGGTTTTGAATGACTTGAAGAGGTCTAGAAATCAGCAAACTCTTTCTTTTTCAATTGTATTGAAAAGCATTTTCTTGTTAATTGTGAAATTCGTAATAATTCCCCTTCTCTGTATATTATGGTTGAAGTTTATCTGGTTGCATTTGCCTTAGAGCTGAACTATATATATTAATGTTATTCCAAATTTAGTGGAAAATATGACCACGTTCATGTTTAACACTAGCATTCTTCATATATCAGTGACACCTTTATTCTCTCTTATATAGTATATTGGTTGTAAAACAAAGTGTGAATAATAACATTTGGGAACTCACATTCTGGTTCTTTATTAGGAAAGAGTGTTAAGCTGGTGAGAACAAGAAGGCTCTTGTTTGTAGCCGCTATATTTCACAATGCAATTATCTAACATCAATCACTTGGCTAATAGGATGGTAACTTTCAATCATTAACTTTCCTTGAAAGGAAATGACTTCATAAGAACTGCACAGACAATTAGAAGCAAGAAGTCTACTTAGATATTAGAGAAAGGACAAATTTGAAGAATTTCAGAATGTTTGTGAAATTCTTCTTTAGATTCATGTAGCCTATTCATTGTTCTTAACAAGAAATCTTTTGAAGGACATCAAGATATTGGTAAAGTTATACAGTAACTTTTGGAAGTTATTGCAATGCACCTCTTTATTTGTGTACTAGTGTGTGTGTGTGTGTGTGTGTGTGTGTTGCACCTAAATAGAGGTTTCAATAGAGGCTAAATAGAGGTTTCAAAACATGTTTTTCTATGGAAGAAGGAAATGATGAAAAACTAAATGAAGCAAAACAGATATGTTTGCCTGGCTCTTTGAAACGCAGGCAGCAGAATATCTTAATTTCTTTTCTCCCTTTCCTTTCCTGTCTTTCTTGTCACCCAGGATGTAGTGCAGTGCTGTGATCATAACTCACTGCAGCGTCGAACTCCTGAGCAATCCTCCGGCCTCAGCCTCCTCAGTAGGTGCGACTTCAGAACCCAGCTCTGCACATGTGTGCCATCATGTCCAGCTATGAATTTCACTACCAATTACTATGTTATCATAAACAGAACCCACTAAGCTTAGGCTATAAACCCAACCCATTAAAAGATATAAACTGTGAATTTATGCCTCTTCACTCTGTGAGAAGACAAAATTCTAAATTGAAATGTTAAGACGATTAACATTTACAATGTTCTAAGGAAATTATTACCTTCTTTTTTTATAACATGAAAGACAGTACAATCTTCATGAAGACAAAAGTACCAAGTTAAATAAAAAATGATAGATAAATAAAAAGATACAGTATCTTGGACATGGACTTACTGCCTCTCTAATACTCTTTTCAAATCTATGTTCTATCATGTTCTAACCATATAGACTGGACAAGGTATTTATTCTCCTTGGGTGATAGTTTCCTATTGTGTAAAGAGATGCTAAGTTTTTGGATCTAATATGTTTAGTTGTGGTGAGGGTTAATTAATTAGCATCACGTCCTGCACATTGTAAATACTCAGTAAATCATTACTATTTGGAAGAAATGGCATTTTACAACATACTTAGCATTTAAATTGATGATTCCCTGTGTTTCCATTGAAACTTAAGAAGACATACCAGATTAATTCCATCAGAAACATATCTATAAAATATGACACATATGTAAGATGAGATACATATATCCTATATAAAATAAGACTATTCATTACAATATTAGACAAATTGCACTTGAGAAGAAAAAGCACATTCTGAAGAAAGAAGATTTATAAGTATGCCACATATGCCTAAATTATTTTATTTTAAAAATTGAAACATTTTATTTCCTCTGATTATAAAAATGATAAAATTATGATGTAAAATATTATTAATTAGGCAGTATATAAATATATAAAATAGTAACTTTTATTCATACAGTTCAGATATTTCCACTGTCTCCATTTATTAAATTACCACTATAGGCTAGATATTTTTCTATGAATATGCAAGTACATGTCTTTAATGCAAGATTATTTTTATTCATAGTTTTATACATTTTTATTTTAATATATGTCATGAATTTCTAAATACAAATTTATATAATGAATGGAAATATTTCAATTTTGCCATCATCAAGATCTAGTACATTACCAAGTTCACAGACAGTGTTCAATAAATATGCGTGAAGTGAATGAATGCCTGAATATTTGAGCCATCACACCCTTCCTTGGCAATGAACATAGATCTACAGGATTTTAACGAAAAAATTAAATAAATTGTATGGTTACACACTGCTTTATCTAATGGATCTACTTTTGAGGAACATTTACATTGTTTCCACATTTTTTCTACTTTGAGTAACATGACAACGCAGTACATTAATTTACTTACACTTCACTTGGCCAATACCAGAAATTGAGATTCAGAAAGCTGGTGCACCAGCTGGCAGCCACAGGGTTCCATTACTTTAACTGCAATCTGAAATCTAAAGAACAAGCACTCAACACCAGAACTGTTGGCTCTGGAGTCACTACACATTTGCTTGACAAGTGGCTACCTTGCCTCTTGTATCTCTTTTCTTCTCTTTTTTCTTCTCCTCTCCTCTTTCCTCCCCTTCTTCTTTTATTCCTCTGCTTACCTTATTTCTCTTCCTCTTCCTTGTTTCTTCCTCCTTTCCCTTCCATGCCTTTCATCTTTCTTCTCTCTCTTTTATTTTAATTCAGTTTCCAATTCAGATCTACATGGACAAATTGGATGAAAGAAATCTAAATCGCACATAGGTCCCTAGCTTCAATGAAATCAAATAACATGCTTCTTTGCTTTCTATCTCTGCAGTACAGGAAGGTCCATAAAAGGAGGTCGGGATGGATGATGGATAATCTATAATGCTGAATATTCCACACCCACTGTCTCTGACTTTCCAGCCTTAAGTCTGCAGTAAAAGTTTTGCTATGGTTTATCAAAATTTCCACAACATACTTCCAATAATTCTCTCTGGTCTCTTGAAAGGCAATTCCTGTTAGCATCTGACGGTTTCCTTTAATTTGGTTGAAACTGTGTGGTATGTGTCAGTCATTCCAGGTTTTGAGGATGCCATTGAGGCTGTCTCCTCTTACAATGATGAAATAATGGAAATTTATTTCTCTTCACCTGCTACATTTATTTCTTCGGGACAAAGAAGGGCTGTTCTTTTCAGATAACTTCTGTGCTAATCCTTTACAATCTATTTTAGGAAAGCAGTTATGACGATACTTTTTACCAGAAATCACCAATTTAATTTACCAATTTGGTGACACTAATTTTTGTTGTTGTTGTTTGAATGTGAGTTTTGCCAACTATAAAAACAAATGTTCAGCTTCTAAATTAGGTACTTGTAGAAAAATGTGTAGATTAGAACCAACAGTAAGTCCATATTTAAGTGGACTAAATGACCTTTAAATTGAGACTTTTAGATCAAGATTTCTCAGCCTCAGCATCATTGACATCTTGAATTGGAAATTTCTTTGCTGTGAGGAGTACCTTGTGCAATGTAGGATATTTAGCAGCATCCGTTGCCTTTACCCAGTACATATAAGTAGCACCCCCAATTGTAACCAAAATGTCTCCAGACATATCCAAATGTTCCCTGGGAGCCATAATTGCCTTTGATGAGAATTACCACCTTAGATGTTACTTTTAGTGTTACTATTAGGCAACTAAGTAGCACATTTACAAAGTGGTAATTTCTGGAGTGTTACAGAGTTAACATAATATTCAGACTAAAAAATCATGGCTGAGCCTGGTGTCTCACACCTATAATCACACTTTGGGAAGCCGAAGCATGTGGATCACTTGAGGTCAGAAGTTCAAGACTCACCTGGCCAACATGGCAAAATTCTATCTTCACTAATAATGCAAAAATTAGCCAGGCGTGATGGCACACATCTGTATTGCTAGCTACTTGGGAGGCTGAGGCATGAGAACCACTTTAACCCGGGAGATGGAAGTTGCAATGAGCTGAGATTGCACCACTGCACTCCAGCCTCCAGCCTCTAGCCTGGGTGACAGCGTAAAACTCTATCTAAAAAAAAAAAAAAAAAAAAATTACAGAAACTGTGGCTCAACTTTCTATTTGGGAAGATACTATAACCCCAAAGAGTTGATAGAGTACAAATACTTACATATGCTTGGATGCACTTGATTCCTCTTCCGTTTGCTTCATGAATGTTAATCTTGGTCCTGATTTGAAAAAGTAAATGAGTGTTTAAAGGAAGCTTCGCAACTTAACAAAATGCATGGTATATGCATGCTAACTTTATATCTGGATGGAATATATGACTGCCAGTTGTACTGTACAAAGGCAATCATATTTTTATTTATCATGTACCTGATCAATGAGTTAAAGTACAGATATCCATTTTCACGAATAGAAATCCACTTAGGTAACATCGCTTTTTTATAAATTCAATGTCCTTTAAAAGATGATGCAAAGAAAAATAAACTACACTATGAAATAAGGATCAGAGATGCATTTATAGGAGAAGATATGTATATGCTTAAAATGTTCATCTATTCACTCATTAAACTGGAATTGAGTGCCCTGAAAGTAGAGATGGGATTCCAAATTCTATATATTCCAGGCATATCTCAAAATAGTGTGAAATGTAATAACTTTTTGTTTTGGTTATATTTTATTATAAAATTTAACATAACCTATCAATGGTAAAATGCAAAGTAAATACCCTAACTTATTAGTATTGAGAATTTTAAAAAATGAGAAATTATGGAACTTATTTTCTAGAAATAATTCTTTATCATATAAATTATATTTAGAAATTGCATTATTTTTTCTTAAAAATTATAAAAATTCAAAAGTTGTAATGGTTGTTTATTAAACATAATAAAATGATATACCATTTTGGTAAATATAATGACAATTTCTGTTTAGATTTAATGATGGACTTAAGTGGGAAGACTTCTCGATGCATAATTTTTGTCAGGAGTTTGGAAATTTTTGTAGAATATTATGAATATATCCACTTATAAAAATAGTATTGAAAGAATAAAACTGTATTTAGATTGCATTTTCTAAAACACAAGTTGACATTAACAATTTAGTAGGAAATTCTCAAAAGAAAAAATATGAGAAAATAAATGCACAAGATAAAAATAATTTTAAAAAGATAAACAAAAAAGGTCTACAAACCCTCTAAATTTAGCACATTTTTCATTTATCTTTACTAAGGCAAGTACTTACATATATTTACATTCATAATTAACGTAGAAAAAAATAGGATATTGCTCAAATATTTGTGTGTCATAGTATCTGAACTTAAATTTATACAGACACGTAGAAAAGAGTGTGTGTAAAAGTTTTTGATTCAAATGTTAAGTTTTCAATACAATTAAAATGTTATAGACTCAAGAACGTGGTATAACTGGTGTTAGTTTTTAAGAGCCTCACAGAATTTTATGGTTCCCATTACTCCTAGCAATATTGTTTCATAATTATTTCATGGAATTTGCTTTAAATTAGAGTTCAAGCCATTTTTAGACCATAAAAGTAAATGGAACATGCCAATGCAATAAAAATCATTTCCTAACAAAAGCTGAAATTATTCATTTTTATTTTGTATGAAACTTTTAGTATAATGACTTTCCTCTGACATCTGATTAAACACTAAAGTATGCTCTGCTTCTCTGAAATAATGAACTGGAATGAATAAATCTATCTACCAGCAACCTCATTTCACAACAAGTTTTATTGTCTGCCTTTAACTGGAAAGAGATATTAACTTTCTTTTCTCTTATAATCATGTAAACTTTATCCTATAGTGGCTGATTTATAACTTTTAGCCATTTCATTCTGTCCTTTTAAATGTGTGCAAATAATACGTTAAAGAACTGAGCACTTATTTAAATGCAAAGGAAAAATCTTAATGTATAATTTTATGTCCGTATATTTGCAGAAGAGCTAAAAGAAAAATATCCTATTTGTGTACATACATAATTGTTACCTCTCCTTAGAGCCAAGCTGATAATAACATCTAGATCTTTTATGTAATATTCGTATTTGCTATCC